ATGACCAAGCATTATATAAGCAGTTTAAGATTCATTATGATGAAAATGTAACAGAGGAATCTTTGCATTCCAGACAATTTAAAGACCCTAAAGCTAATTGGGCAGGTTTGTGTGTAAGACGAATGCCTGTACGTTTGGATCTTTGTATCCTTAACGGGTCCCCATGGGGCGACTTCCCAGCAGAATATACTTATCGGGGAGCAGGAAGAAAATCCACAGTTGATTACTGGATAATATCATATGACCTCCTGAAGTTCTTACAGAAGATGGAGGTAGACTCACGACTAGAAAGTGATCATCATGCAATAATCCTTACTCTCACATTACACCAGAAATCTCTAAGGGCAGGAACAGCCTACCTACCCAGGTTAGAGAGCCAAAATACCCAGGTAAAAATTAAATGGAACAAGAAAAATGCAAAGGAAGTTACTAAATGGATGTTAGTTTTAGAAACCATAGAGCTACGTACATCTCTACTAAGGAATAAGTTTGAAGGATCTTACTTAGAGGGGTTTGAAACTTTAATTTCAAAATTGAAATCGTTTCTCACTAACAGAATACTAGCTCACTCCAAAAGGCCAGTCTCAAAGAAAAAAAAATGGTTTGATAGAGATTGCATGCAACTAAAAAGGATATAATGGAGTACAGGAAAAGTAAAAATGTCCCTTTTGAGGATCACACTCACTACTTAAAGCAGTTGAAAACACAATATAAGACCTTCGAAAAGAAAAGTGCAGCTCTGAAGGAGTCTGGGCATAGACCCATGATGGCGAACCTATGGCACGTAGGTTTGTCAGGGCACGCGAGGTGTTGCCCTGTTATCTGGCCAGCGCGCATGTGTGTGCTGGCCAACTAACTTTGGCTTTCTTTTGAGGCCGTTTTTCGCCCTCCGGAGGCTTCCTTGAAGGCTCTGGAGGGCAAAAAATGGACCTACGGGGAACCCAGAAGTTCGGGAATAAGTGACTTCTGGTTTGTCCGTAGGGCCGTTTTTCGCCCTCCGGAGCCTTCAGGGAAGCTGCCTGAAGGCTCCGGAGTCAAAAATCAGCCCTATGGACAAACTGGAAGTTACCATTCCCGAACCCTGTAGGTCTGTTTTTCGCCCTGCGGAGGCATTAGGGAAGCTCCTGGGGCCTGGGGGGGAGGGGGGAGGCTGTTTTCGCCCTTCCCAGGCTCCTAGAAAGCCTCTGGAGCCTGGGGAGGGTGAAGAAACCGTGCCAAAAAGGTGGGGGGTGTCGCACACATAGCATTATGGGTGTGGCATGCCTGCGCACGACCCCCTGTGCTCCACCCGCTTTTGACACGGGAGCAAAAAATGGTTTGCCATCACTGGCATAGACTAATTACATCAGTCAGGATAAAAAATACATCCCTTTTTTGGTACTTTATCAGAGGACTGGGGAAACCTCCCCTACCCCCAACTAATAAGGTTCCGATTTATGCCTGGGAAGAATATTTTAGGGAGCTTTATACAGACCCTGACTATGTAACCAAGGAGAGCCAAACTAGTTTGGACCAAACTCCTTACTAGCCCCCAGTTACACCAGAAGAGATATCCCTGTTGATCGGAGCCCTCAAGGCTAATAAGGCACCTGGTGCTGGTAATGTCCTGCCAGAAATATCTCTAACAATTTCTGGACCATTGTATTTACTCCCATACTTATCAGCTTTTCACCTACGTAAACCAGGGAGTGACCCAAACAGTTTGAGAACATTATTATTATCCACTATTAATATCAGTACTTTTTAAATATATTTTAATGTCAGTACTTTTTTTAATATATTGTAAAAAGTAATGTCTATTGCTGGTCTTTGACCATAATAAAGATGATATTATTGTTACTGTTACTGTTGTTGTTATTATTATTATCAGATATTTCCTATTTTTACAGGGGGGGAGATGGCTGAAATTAGTGACCTTGACCGTCAGATTGAACATCTGCGGTGCTGTGAACTCATCAAGGAGAGTGAGGTCAAAGCCCTCTGTGCAAAGGCCAGGCAAGTATTTGTAGACTTGTGAGCAATAACTGCTTTTATACTACAGCATGCAGCTGATGATGTGAAAGGCAATTCCAGATGACACAGCTCCCTTTTTCTTCTAACAGAGAGATCTTAGTGGAAGAAAGTAATGTCCAGAGAGTAGATTCCCCAGTAACAGTGAGTAAGGGTTTGGGGGGGATGCCTCATAATACCTTAGACTGGTGTGGTGACATCAGCAGTCAGACAAGCTTTAATATTTTTTTTTATCCTTGGTGCATTTTTTCCCAGGTTTGTGGGGATATCCATGGCCAGTTTTATGACCTTAAAGAGCTATTCAGGGTGAGTGCTGAAACCAACTAGTTCAATGCTGCCTTCTGCTGCTTTTTGCTTGCTTTCTGTACATTCCCTAATTTTACGGGTAACCTTTTCATGTGTTCTGTGTCTT